TACTTTTTGAAATAATGAGTATTTTATGATAAATCAATCACTCTGTATATATATATATATTATGACATGAGACACACGTGAATGAAGTAGCGACGATAAAAATTATTAGAATCAAGACCCAAACGCATAGATATAAATGGCTATATAATGCATTTATTTATCAATTGAAATAAATTAAAATTATATTCATTAATTGTATAGTTAGTTTAAAAGTATTTAAATACAAAATTAGTATTTGATTCTCAAGAAAAATTTTTTTTGTAAAAGTTAAGTATTGTTAGTAKAGTATTTTTCAATCTATTAAAATGACTATATGTAAAGAAAACGTCATACGTAGTATTGTTCGTACTAAAAACTAATTTGATTTTATGTTGAAATATTGTTGATGTTGTATATTTATTATCCATAAAATTGAGTGTTTGTTGCCTAAAGTTTTGGTTTATTGAATAAAAATGTTTCTATTGGGTTTATAAATACACAATTCAAAGTTTTCTTAAAAGTGTTTATTGTATAATAAACATATTATCCTAAAATAGTTATAACCTTAATAAATACATAATGACTATCCTAATGATGTTTAATATAGAATTTTTGTATGAAATTTCAATTGTATAGCAGTAATTTCTTATATTATGGATTCATATTTAAAAAAAAAAAATACACATTTAGATAATATAATTATGTCATTTATTTGTCTCGGAGTTAATTAGGGCGTTAAGGTCAATTGGGTAAATTGGATAAATTGGGTAAGTATTGTATATTTAGAGGTATAATGTTATTAATAATACGGCGTATAGGCAAAAATGGGTCAAACCGTAGTGTTGTGTCAACATATGTTGTTATACAATCAGAGTGCTTCTCACCCATATACAAATATCGTTAATATCAATACATAGGAGCTGCGCATCGACCATATATCCTGATAAAGGTTTCGCAGTACAAATATAACATTGTTAGGGACAGGTAACCAATACCTATGCATAATATGAAAGGACCACAAGAAGGAGGTCAGCTCCCATTTCGCCGAATTTATTTTTTCGCAGTTCCATCTCGCCGAATTTATTTTTTAAGTAAATCTTTTAAGTAAACTTAAGATTAAAAATTACATTC